TTCTGTTTTCTTCCCTTTTTTTTCTTTATCACACTCATTTCTATCGTCATCAAACCCTCATAACCATCTTACCAGCATAAAAAAATCCCCCTTCCATTTGCAATCCAGAAAGTCACGAACACATCACCTGATACGCAAAGTAATGTGTAATATACTACATACACCCCCGCGATTAATTCTCCGAGAGAAGGAGGGGGTGTGCCCCGCAAAAAAAAAAAAAACGGTCGGCGACTCCCTTATTTAGTGCAGGGCACCCACCCATTGTTTTGGAACGGATTTTACGATCTCGATCTAATCTAACCGTAAGGGAATTTAGTATGAGGAAGAGAGAGACGCTTCACCTTGAACCAGATAATCAAATATATATATATATGTGTTTGTATTGATCATTTGATATTCAATGTATATTAATGAGATATAATTCTCATTAAGATACAAAAAAAATAAGAGTTTCTCTAGCAACACAAAAAAAAGCATTTAAACTCGTGCCGAAATACATAAAGTAAGATGTAAAGAACAAACCGACGACAAATGATGATGACGAGGACCACCGAGTCGCTTTTTTTTTTTTAAAAAAAAAGACTAATCCACCCAGTGCAATATCTCATTTCTCACTCTTTTTCTCCAACACCCTTCCCCTCCAGTCCCCCGGGTACTACCGACCCTGAGGCCCAAGCAACAACGCCGCAATAGCATCAACACAGGCATAAAACCTCTGACAAACTTCGGGCTGGGCCAAATACGCCGACGTCTTCTCCTTAATAACATCCTCATGGCTCCACTCCTCCAGCGGCACATCCTCCAGACCCGTGACATCGAAGCGAAAATACTTCATCCAGTTCCTCTCAATAAGAGCCGCGTGATCAGCTTCGAAGCGCTCGCCCCAGCCGCGGGCTTCGGCCTTGCGGTCCTCGACGCTATTTGCCATTTCGGGAATTTCGCGGGTGCGGTCGAGGCCGATGCCTGTGCCGACGGAGACGATGATCATCATGTCGTTTGCGTAGCGGAAGAGCTTGCGGCATTCGTAGAGGATATCGCGGACGGGGTTGTTTTTCGTGGTGCCGTGGTCGACGAGGCCTTTTTCGATTACGAAGCGTTGGGGAACGGCTTTTTCGGATTGAATATAGCGCGGAGCTGCTGACGTGGCTTTCATGGTTTGCCATATGGGCATGTCGGGTTCTAGATCTGGGCCTGTGATGCGGCGTGTTTGGTAGGAACGTATTAGTGCTGCTCGGTTGGTGCCTGGATTTTGTTAGTACTATCACTACAATAAGGAGGGTATACCGCTAGAGTACGTACCGATATCCATTTGTGTTGTAATTGCGAATCTGCATATAGCGTTAGATATTATATAGAAAAACAAGAACGCTACTCACACATCGCCCGAGTCCGTCCGTCCGTCGAGCAGTATTTCATCTGGGTTGCCCAGCTCCTGTCGGACGACACTCTTAATCGCATCTTCCAATGCGCTATCATCTACACTTCGCACTTGTGCATGTGGATCCAAGTACTTAAAGTAGTCCTTCTTGTTTGCAAAGACCTGTTTCGCAATCTGCTTATAGGCCTCTCTAGCTCGGTGGGCTTGCATCCGAAGCCGGCACAGCATAATGGCTATAATCCCTCCTAGAGAGCATCCTCCTGTCAAGTCAAAGATTTGGTGGCTGTCTAAGCGCTGTCCAACCTTGACACAGATTGCATTGACGAGCGATTCGACCAAGAGTAAGGCAGACAGTCCTCTAATACCATCGCCGTCGATTGAGAGTAGGATCTTAGTTTCTCTGGTGCGTGACAGAATTGTCTGGGCTGTCAATACTGGCTTCGATGATGGATCCCGCAGCGTGGGATCACATGGAATGTCAGCATGTTGAGGAGGTGACGGGTGGCCGTTAGTATGGTTCGCATGGCTGCTGTGTATCGGAGCCAGCGGAACGAAGTTTGGAGGACCAGCAGGAGCCTGATTAACACCATTCGGTACTACAGATCGACTCCCATAGGGAGATGCATAACTAGTGGAAATATTTGGTAACGGAGGCGTACTGTGGTCGCGCGGCGATGCTGAAACGGCATGTTCAGCCACAGTAGATGGTGAAGGAGTGACCAGATCAGTCACAGGTTGCTTGATTAGTACTGGTGGAGGTTGAGTGTGAGGATAGGCTGAAGTCAGTGGCGGCGGACCCGTCGAAGGAGGTGGAGACGGCCACGGAGAATATTTGGAATATGGATCCCGAGCGAGTCGCGTCTCGGCTTCCTCAGCTACGCGTCGAATATCTGGATCCCGAGCCTTGCTAGGCCATATCAGCATGAGCCGGCGAGGATAATGTTTGTGAGGCGCGACATACTACTTGACATAGCTGACGTCCCAGGGCTCCCAGCGGCCAGAGAGGAGGAACTGTATCGAGGAGGGATATGCGGGGTCGTGGAAGTAGTGTGTGCCCTCTACGGGAGAGTATCGGACACAGCTAAAGTCCACCAAAGCCCACGACATTCCGCTGGTCTTGTTACTTGTATGGTGACTAGGCTCTGTAGAGTCAAGTAATTAGAATTGAGGTAACAAACGACCTTCTACTGAGCTCAACGAGAGTAGCGGTGGGCCGACAGCATGCCCGATAAAGACGCAGTAAGACACTAGCTGCCGGTGAGTGCTGGGCGGTTGATCAGGACGAGACAACCACAAAGAGGGCGTAAGTACGACCAATCAGGCAGAGTCGAGCGGCGCGCGTACAAGGTTTGTGCAGTGCCAGCCCATTGAACGGTACGTAAGGGCATGAGTAGTGTATCTGCGACAATGCGGCCGCGTTTGACCGGGCAGATAGGCTGGGCGATGGCACTCGGCAAATGGCGTGGTTAATGACATTGCGAAGCCGGGGCGGTTGTGACGGCCAGCTCATCCCTGCCTGGGCCTCTGCGGGGCCATGGCCGAGAGGCGGCGTTGAGGTGTTGCCAGGTTGGGTAGCCGGATACAGCCGCTGTCGACGATTCGGGCGACTGACGATATTTGTTATGTAGTAGAGTAGCAGACGGACCAAGGCTGGTAGCCTAGTGAGTTGGCGGCGTTGACAAGGGGCCACGCCCCCGCGGCCCGTAGCCGTACCGGTTGTTCGGTTAGCCACCCCTCATGACCACTGTGCTGTCCTCTGCTGCTGCTCTGCCTTCGATCTTGCACACTGCATGCCAGCCTTGAGATCTGTCTTTATTTAGTCGGTATCCCCCCTTTTGGCACGCACTACACAAGACGTGGCACTGATCAGCTGCCCCCAGCGTGGTCACGTGACGCCTTCAGCGCATCTCCGCCGCTAATCTTGCAGCTTGCATTTGTATAGTCGTCGGTTGTTTTGCACAACTGACTTGCACATGCGCACCGTGTATTCTGGCTACGAGTGTGTGCTACAAAAGCATGGACACAGTCCACTTGGCAGTTTCCAAACACCCTGCCATGCCAAACCCCGTAACGAGGTCGTGGGATGCTTGGCACAGCTTGACGACAATTGCGCAATGATGGGGTTCCAGGGCAGCGCAGGGCCAATCGCGTTACTTGGCTATTTCGACCGCAGAGTGTTCGTGATGGAGTCGTGTCCACCACCGTACGAGAGCCCAGCCCCGAGACTGCAAACGCCGTATGCGCTGGCGCACTCATTACGAGAGTAGTAAGAGCCAGGAAGCAATCGACTTTCCCGATCGCGGATGTGCTGCTGTATCAAATTGATGATGAGGCTGAAGAAAACAAGATCTTGTCCCTGCTGTAACTTGGAAAGGGACATTGGTTGCCGGAAGGATCGCAGTCTGGAGGAAGGATTGCCGAAAGGAGCGACCAAAATGAGTTGGATGCCTGGTTGAATACGATTCAGCTATCCAGCTTTTATCGTCTTACCAGACAGTCATGATGCTAGATCATACGATAACACCCTAGCCATTTGTGGAGGAAAACGGTCTTTTACACTTCTGACCAATCACAACCCCAACGTGTCCGGTAGCTGTCCTCTCAGCCAAAGCACAGAGAGAGTCAGGTGAGGCACAAAAGCAAGCCGATTCCCGCCAAACACACAGCTAGTGTCAAGTACAGATCTCAGAGATCGGTTGTGGTTCCGAGGTGTAACACTTGGGTGTAACATAAAAAGATCTAGCAGAAGCGGGGAGATAAACAAGAAGGTGGTCTTGCGACACGTCTCCATTCGAGGACACATCCGACGCCGACAAAGGCATCTTTATGCGATACAATTGGCTGAACCAATAGCCACTACTACAAGGTGTATTCGTGGTATTTAAACCAAGGATTGGTAAGTCCCCATACACTTCTACTCACCAAGTTGTTCCTGTTACTTGTAAGCAGACCAGTCGATATATGTCGACTCATCGATGGAAGGTGCCGTGGCTTTTACGTCGATCAAGGTGCTTGTGTAAGCCCTGACTGGCCTAGCGAGTAATACCTCGGGGCCCTACATCCACAGTGCATGTGGTGCCAGTACGCGTTTGACAGTTGGGTGTATAATTCCTCGTCATAATACGGACCAAGAGCGCGGTTCTACACCTCGTGTACCGTTTATACACATACAAGTATGCTCGTGTAGGTGAGATATTCAGTCAGTAATTCGCGTGAGCTTGTATCCATATTCATGATGCGAGAGCAGCAGATAAAAAGAAAACCAGTCAGTACAAGGTACTAGTAGCAAGCAAAGGAAGGCGTCATATACAAAGTCAATCGCCCAGAAACTTTCGTGTCCAGTAAGAGAAGCGTTTCACTTGTCGGGGTTTAAAGCCGCGCTCTAATCGACCCGTAAGCTTATACCTCATGTGAAACAAATGCGTAACAACGTCCAACTTTGGTTTTCGAAGCATATTCATTTCTCGCGCCGAGTCAATTCGCTATGAAGACTCTAGCTTAGTTTGTTCATGCAGCCCATGCTCATTTCATATCATGAGCTCCGAATCCCACAGAAGATGAACCGAATGAAGTTGAACTCCGAACCAATTCACATGCAGCACATTTTCCAGCCACTCATAATCTATGCCTTCTCAGCAGCAGCAGCCTTGGCCTTGACACCCCTGGGCTTTGATGGCTTGTCGGCCTTGACGGGCTTCTGGCTCTTGCGGATGGCAGAGGCCCTGGCGACGGCGTCCTTGCGGAGGTCGGGGCGGTAGTTGCGCTTGGTGGTGGCGTTGACAATGGCAGAGTAGGTCCTAGCGCCGTCAGCAAAACTTCCGGGGTATACCCAGGTATCCTCATGTTCGGCTACCAGGGCAGTGGTTCGAAGAGACGTACTTGCGGGTGGACTTGCTGGGGCCGAAGGTGGTGGTCTGGATGGCGGATGCGGGTTGGTGGTGCTTGTCGGCCTTCTTGATGAGAAGAGTGACACCACCCTCCTTGCCGGGGATGACACCAATAGCCTGGTTCATATTGTCAACAACGTCTTCTGGGTTATCTGGTGTTCGCGCTTCGCGTAACCGAAGATCGTGGTGGCCGTACCTTGTTGGCGATTGAGCCCTCGTTCTGCGCAAAGTTAGCGAAACACGACCCAAAATCTAAAACAGACTACATACCTTGCGGCTGTAAAGGTTCCTCAGGTTAAGAGGATCGCGCGAGAACTGAACGCCATTTGCCCTCTTGACGAGCGTGGAGCTGCGTCCCTCTGCCGATTGTCAACGCCTATTCCTCCGTCCTTCGTATACCAGTTTCTGTTCACTCACTGGTAATCTCCCAGGCAAGGTCGTGCGAGATAGTGGTGGCCATTGTGTCTGTATGGAATGTGGATACGGACGATGTCAATGAAAGTTCGCCAATATTGAAAGGTAGGGCCTCGTCTGCATTTCCGCATGCGCTTAGTGCGTGTTTCGGGGATGGATCAACATAGGCGCCGACGCCGACGTTGCCGCCAAGCAGCGGAGCGGAAGTGACGACGCATGAGCGTGAGGCGCAGCCTAAGGTTCAGGCCGTGACAGCCGAAACGTCTTGTCCGCGACTCCGTTGTCACGCATCACCGTCGTCCGGGATAACTGCACCTATGTCCCTGCCTGTGGCGTGAAGACCCCGCGTCTCCGCATTACCATCATAGCCCATCACACATCCATTTCCTTTGTTCTCTGTCACCACTCTCACATCGCGTTCCTTGCAGATCGATAGAGCGCACTTGTAGGCATTCACTCTGTCGCATACACCACAATCCCATCAACAAATCACAAGTGCCATCGCCAGCATGGAGTACCTATTCTACTCAGTCTGCTTTTTTGTCCTGGCCGTTGCAACAGGTACTTTCCTTGCACCCCACCTCACTGCTGGTTACTGACGCATCACAGCCGCATACTTCACCCGGCACCGTTGGATCCACGTCCTGCCCATCCCTGAACCCATATATGCGCGACTACCAACCTCCTTCCGCGACGATATCGAAGCAGGCCTATCGTCATCAGCATTTGACCTCAGTGGCAATGTAGAATCTGGCGACTCGCGCCAAGGCCTTGATGACGCGGGGAAGAAGGAGGTCATGAGCATCATGAAGCGACAAGGTGTCGACTTTGATGAGGCGCGCAGAATATACATGCAGGATCGATTCAAGAAGAACAACATTGGAGCCGACGGCATCCCCCGCGATCCAAAGTTTGTCAGCTTCTCGTAATGGTGGCCAAGGATGTGGAATGGGACCATGCATCACAGGACTATCTCGTACATCATTTCTTTTGTTTTAAGTCTGGGTTTGACAAGCTACTGCTTTTCATTTGTTGCCTCGAGTGGGCTAGTTATATGCGGCTTGGGACGAGCAGACGTACGTGGATCTGCGCATATGGGTTTAAGCGCCTAGTGTCTTTGCTTTCTTTCATTTCCGTTTCGTGTTCCTTCTCTTCTACTGACTTTTACAGCATTTTCTTGAATAGAACTTCGTATGTCTCTACGTGAGAATAATTCTACTGCATACCTCGCTTTCTACGTGTGACTTCATACTGGAACATCGGAGCGGCGTCCAGGGATCGACGCCGGATTTAACTCTAAGTACCACGTGCTGGTGGTATGGCTGCAGGCTAAGCTTATTAACTGATCCCTAATACGTGCCTGAAGCACCTATGATGGACTCGTCGAGAGCGCAACGCCTTTATATGCAGCAATAGTCCTATTGATGCCTGTTCTTACACCCAGTCATTACTGTATCTACCTAGGTGCTTGCGCATAACCTGGAGGGCCTCCAAAACCGGGTGGAGGGGCCCCAAAGCCTGGTGGTGGAGCTGCAAATCCCGGGGGTGGAGGGAAGAAGTTTGTTGGGGCACCACTCGGTGGGCGAGCAGGTAGACCCGTTGGAGGAGGAGGGAGTGACGGGTGGCCGATGGGGGCGGCAGAAGGTGGTCTCCCATAACCTCCGGGTCCGTTGGGTACAAAGCCAGGAGGTCCGCTCGGTGGTCCATATCCTCCTGGCCCGCTTGGCGCGCCGGGTACGCCTCTTCCATCTACAGGCATAGCTGGTCCCGTCGGGGCAGCGCCTGGAGGAAGCTGGAAAAGATGTGCTGGCAGAGGCTGAACAGCAGGCGCAACTCCGTGAGCCTTGGCTTGTTTGGCAAGCATACGCTCGGCTTCGTCTCCATGTCGCTCGCCCTTGCCATCTTTCTTATACGCGTACTGAACTGTGATCTGCTTGGACATGATGTATTGGTTGTGCATACTGGCGATGGCCGCATCCGAGGACTCGAAATCGCCGTAGGAGATGAAACCGTAGCCTTTGGACGCGGTCGTGACTTCGTCGCGCGCAACCTTTGGCGCATTCACCAGTGGTCCGAATCGGCTGAATGTGTCGTACAGAGTCTTTTCGTCTACACCTGGATCGAGATTGCCAACGAACAGCTCTGCACCAATCTCCACATTCTTTTGCTTGTCTGCGGATGCCTTATTCACGCGTATCCGGCTTCCATAAAGAGCAACATTGTTGAGAATTTTAGAAGCATAGTCGGCTTCAGCTTCTGTGTGGAACTCGACGAAGCCAAAACTTTGGTGCTGCCCATTGACACGATCGACTGGCATATTCACATTGCGTACACGGCCGGTGTTGAGCATCAGCTCGTGAAGGATGCGGGGTGTGACGCGCTCATGGAGATTACCGACGTATACGGTGGCTTCTTTGTTCTGCTCCCTGCACATTGATTAGAACATGCTAGTTGTTATTGATTTAGAGAACGTACCAGTGACGGGCGCTTGGAGCCGACATGGCTGAAATTTAGCGAAGTGAGCGTCAAAAATTGGATATCTCAGATCGCACCACGTTCTTCGTGTGCCTAACACTGTTGGCTGAGCGCGAGGGATGTCGTGGCGTGTTGAAGGTGGAGTTGAACATGGCTGAAAGATCTCGGAGCTCGACAGTCCAGTCCTGCGCTAGTCCATATATGGTTAATTTCGCCCATGTCTCCGGCCCGTGCATGGACCCCAAGATTTTGAGCTTTGCGCATCATCGCAATCACGCCCACCAAGCCCGCCGTCACCTATTTCGTCACCCGTCCTGACTTGCCCAAACCGACAGTCGACCACACAGCAATCATGTATCAACTATCGGAAGAGTCCAAGGTAGGCTACAATTCGTAGATACAGATGCAGGAAACACACATTGACCGTCTACTAGGAGCGCATTGCCCGCATCATCGATGTCTCCCGTGTCGCTATCCACTACGGCTACCTCCCTCTGATTCTATATCTCGGTTACTCGCGAAGCGAGCCTAGGCCATCTCTCATCCGGTGAGTGTGGTGTCTTTGTTTTACGCTCATCAGCGAATGAGTCCGCTTTCTTGTTGGATTGAGGCGCATTTAACTCGTCGCACCACGGAGGCATAGAGTCTGCGTGCATGTTTCTCTGAAGCACTCTCATTTTGGGAATTTACACTTGTCTGCGTTCAGTGATTTTTCGTTGACTTACTAACCTGTGCAGTCTCTTCTCTCCACTTGCATAAATATCCAACGAAGACACGTCAACGACCGTTTGCAGAATTTTGTACAATACTACGCTCCTGAGCACACGGAACCTCGGGCATGGTGATTTCAGCCACTTGATCCTGAAGGATGCTGTGTGGATTTTTGCGTGCGCCTACTCTTCTCCTACTTTTCTACTCCAATTGGCCGTCGAGGGGCGGCTCCTCGGGGCTGTATATCTACATCAGAACATCCAAGACAGATTAATGTACCCTGAACCATTGACACCTGCCGTGGGGGTGTTCAGTCTAGACTGCAGTCTTCCACTGGCACCAAGTGTAAGCCACTCAAACATTGCGTGCTATATTTGTTGGAATTGGTCGTGTCCGAGCTCAAAGTCGTACCCGTAAGCTTGTTGGTTGGATATGGCGGCGCTTGCCATGTCTGAGCACCTGTGCGGGGTGGCTGAGTACCAGCCGTGTGGTGAAGATAAACATACGCCAATGACGGGACGCTACTTGCCCCACGTGGCTTGGTGGTTCGCTTACATACTTGAGCATCAGGCCCCCATGTTCTCCTGCTTCATCCTCCGCCAAAGCGAATATTTGACACCTTACCTTTGTAGCACACATCGCCATGGAGCCCTATACCCGAGTGCATGGCCTCGGGCCGGTTCTGACTGGGTCGCGAACTCTCACCCCATAGCCCCACGTCTGCCGTGTCCACGGTATAACCCTCTCTCACAGACGGTGTTTCTACTAGAGTTTATGTGCTGATCACTCTGCTATCGTTGATACCACTTTCCGTCTTTGCCGTCTGCCTGACTGCTTATCGTAGCTCAGTACATGAACCTTATTGCTCGCCACCATGACTGTCCCCAGTATTGGGGACATTCTAATGTTATCTCAGAAAGCTTGGAAGATTGGAAGCGCATTCGCTGCTTGCCACAAGCAAGCTCCGCCTAACCTCGGTTGCATTGAAACTGAAATTGGCGGTCTAGCAAACGCGCTTACGCTGCTGGCAGAGACATTATACGCCGAGTGCGAGAGCGATCTGCTTCAGAGTGCTGACCAGCAAACCCGGGCCGGAGTTGCTGCTATAATCGGAGCTTGCAAGCGAGCAGTCGACGACCTCGATTCCTTAATAGATGAATACCAGGTCATCAAAAAGCATAGGACTGTGGGCGGTTTCGCAATTGAGCGAGCATGGAGTGACTTGGTACTAGCCGAGTACAAGACGATCTCTTGGACAACAGAGGGTGGCGATCTGGACAATCTGAGGGACTTGCTACAGGTGCATAAACACGCAATAACAGTTTTAGTACAAGCATTACAAAGGCTAGTGATGCCAGTCTCGTAGCCTCCAACGACTAACATTGAGTAGCAAGTCCTCAACTCGCTTAGAACGAGTAGTGAAACCAATGGCGGAGCGTATCGACAGTATGTACACCTCAAGCAGCAGCCTCGATCAGCAGCTGGACGAGGTCCATCGCATGGTACAAGATCTCGATATAATATCACAAGACTCTGCCACGCCGCCCGTCCCGCCAAAACATCCCGCACGAACTCCAAGCACCGGGGACGCAAGCTATCAAAGTCCAATCCTTGACCATCCAGATTTATCAAGATCTTCACCGCGGAATACCAACCTCAAGATATCATTACCTTCAATTCCGTATAACCGGAGGATATCTCAGTGCTCAACAGCTAGTTTGACCAACGGCCTGCCTACTCCTATACCTACCAGAGAAAGTGTATCAGAGGCAAGTCTCATGGAATCATCACTGCGCTACTCGAGCAGCAGTTATGCATCTTCTGAAGCAGGTCAAAGTTCTACCGGATGGCAAAGTCCACAGCTAGCATCGAAACAATTACGCCTGAGTCGCCAACAGTCGATATCAACCAGGAACGGCCCGGCTTCTCCAGATATACGGGATCATACACAAAGGCCCAACAACCGTTATTCGACACTACATTCCTCTCCAATCCTTGGGCCTGAATTTCCACATGAACTGGGAAGAACTCTGTCGCAAGCCGAGATTGAGCAACTTCACCGCAGCGCGACAACGGCGAGCCAGCGAAATGCTTTTGAAAAGGAAGCTTTTCGTAACTCGGCTATACTTTGTGACGTGTAAGTCATAAACTATCTATACCATCACTTGCATATCAGAAAGCTTGTTTTATTTATTGATAAAGTCAATTTTCTACAAACTAACACAAACCACACAGCCGGGGCAAAGTAGTCGAGTACTCCCACCGAATCAACCGTGACGACCCCCGAGACGTAGAAATGATCCCTGTATGTACCGACTGCCGCATTGCTGTGGTACGAAAACGCATTACCGACCCGGAAACCCGAACCGTTCGGGTTGTAACCTCCATCTGGGTCTTCAGCGACGACACTCAAGTCCGCATGGAACTCCGCATGCAAGACGAACACATGTACATTCCCTACGCAAGTTACTTTTCCCCCGCCAAAGTTTCCATCACCGTCCCCTGCGAACTCAGATTCTACGATGTAGTGCATGCAGCCGGCCCGGCCCGCGTAGCGCAAACGAGTTGGGTGAATTATGTATTTGATAGTCCGCAGTGTAAGTCTCTCTCCTACCTCATATGTATCCAAAAAAAATATCCACTTTCCCCCCTCCCGCAAACCAAAACAAACAAACAAACAGTAAGATCTAACAATCAAGCCAGCCTCGGCACTCTTCCAAAACGAACTAATGGGCCGCACCCTCCTAGCAACCTTCCGCACGGAAAAAACGCTGCGCACCCACTCGGGCCTCTCCAAATCCTTTGCCTACGCCGAGCAAATGTGCGGCCTCGAAACGCTGCGTATCTGGCAAGACAACGACACGGGCGCCGTAATCGCCCTGTTGCACTTCTCCGCCGACTTCCGCACCGGATACCTCGCCTTCTACCTCAACTCGGCGCGCGACCCACTAAGCGTCAAGGACGACGGTATGCGCCAGGTCAAAATCCGCGGCCTAAAAGTCCCCGTCGATGGCGCCGCGCCCCAGGTCGCCCATCATGGTACTGCTGCTAGTGGCAAAGGCAAGGATAAGGCAGGCGCCAGTTCGAGTGCCAGTGCGGCCAAGATGATGATGATGAAGAAGAAGCGTCATGATAAGGAGGATGGGGTGATTAGTGGAGCAAAAATTGAGTTTGCCACTGAGGTGGAGAAGAGGGAGTTTTTGGACTTGTGTAAGGTTATGCAGGGGAATTTGATCGAGTTGCCCGAGTTGCAGGGGGTGAATTGAGAGAGAGAGAGATATGGTGGGGTGGGGGTGGGGGGGGAAAGAAATATCGGAGACTTTTTTCTTCTTCTTCTTTAAAGGTGGAGAGTAATGGGTTTCAAGGTCATCTTTGGCTGCTATGACGATATGTGTGTTGGCTTTTTTTCCCTTCTTTAGAGAAAAATGGAGGCAGAGATATTTATTCTCTTTTTAGTTTTTGCGTCTACGAAATCATCGATCCAGTTGGTACGATTCCTGGCTGGCAATTAAACCGATTCGTAGTTGAGAACATCAAGTGAGTAAGTACTACGGACAGGCAAATACTTCAAATTAATTAGAATTTCATAATGCCATACGTTCTCCATCTACGTGGTATCCCTCCATTCCTCCAGACTCAGAACAACGTAAACGCACACAAGGCCCGCAGCGTACATGTATGTCAATGCATAAACGCACGCCAAACTCCCCCCCCCCCCTATCTCCACACACAGCCCCCTTACCTTGAACCAGTTTCCTGCCACATGAGTACGCAATTTTCCCAACGTACATAAAAAAAAGAAGAAAGTAGAAGAAGAAGAGGAAGGAAGAAGAAAACACACAAAGACACAAAGTGACTCCAAAGAACGGCCACTATGCAAAAGCCACACTTGCTCTTCAACGGTCAAATCCTCCTTGAGAAGTTTTCCCAGTCGTCACGGTTATCGTTCAATCCTTTCTCACCAACCAAGCCCCCCTTTCACACAAAAGCCGGAGTGAGGTCGCGCTTGGTTTCAAGATGAGGCGAGCACTAGTCGCCATTGACTTGCTCAACACCACCTCCATTGGTATGGGTAGTGCCCATGTATCGCTGCATATAGGTGATGTAGTCGAATTTGGGAATATCGCGGTCTTCTTGCATATCTGGGCCTTTGTGCTCGGGCATGGTAGCAAGAAGGTCATCAATGACCTCATCGGGTACAAGGGAGTGCCGAAGGTCGAGCTCTGTGACGTATGGCTATAATTCAAGGGTTAGCATTTGGCTTTGTGTATACAACAAGCCACATGGATGACTTACCTTGCCGTCGGCAACTTCCCTAAACGACTCAAAGACTTGCTCGGCTGTGTTTTGGTCTTCAGTCTCGTCAACCATGAATCGAATAAACTGTTCAAACGTGACAAAGTCCTTGCCGCCGCTCGTTTCACGGAATCTCTCATGCATTTCGTCCTCGTCGTAGACTAGGCCCAAACTCGCCAATGCCGCCGAGAATTCCAATTCTGCTAGCGAGTTGGAGACGTCACGGTCAAAGTGGCGGAAAACGGATTCGAACTCTTCTAATTGAATGGGCGTCAGGTTGGTCATGTTTCGGGCAACCATTTGGTTCTCGAGGAAGGCGAGCTTTTTCGACACCGAATTGCGGACAAGACCCAGCTCGTACTCGAGTTCATCGTATGTATATGTTGTAAAGTCGTTTTCTTCGATATTTGCTTCGGCACACTGTTCATCAATCGACGCTATAAGATTCAAGTACTCGTCCAGTGGTGCAAGTGACTTGCTAATTTCCTTGGTGTGCTCGAGTTGGTCATCGACATCGCCTTCGAGGGCAGAAATCGATGTGGATAGCGTGTTGAGGGCGAGAGCAAAGTCGTTTGCTTTGTCAGCAAAAGACTTTCGCAGGGCATTCTTGATATCTCGGATTGTTTCGTTGATGATCTGGGAGCGCCGTCGTTCGGCCTTCATCAGTCCCGACCAAGCATTATCAAGCGCGTCGAGGCTGAGTTCTGCTGGAGGCTCGTACGGTCGCAATCGGTATGTGGCCAACTTGGTCCTAATGTTACCCAACAGCCCAACAAGGTCCGACTTCTCTGCAACCCATGTCCGCTTGTTCTTGCGCTTCCATGCCGTGAATTCAGCAGATTGGGCCCTTGCATCGGCATATGTCCCGTCAAACGTGGCCTCCTCCCACTGTGACTGCTGCTTAGCAATCTGGCCTAGCAGCTCACGCATGCGCCTTTCAAAGTCGTTCTGCATCTGCCATGCTCCTTGCATGTTGGCCACAAACTTTTCTACTCTTCGGCCGGCATTTTCGACTCGTTCCATCTGGGAGAAAGCGTGGAACCAGTAGGCAATATACGTCATAAGGGATCGCTCATCAGGCTTGGGTACGTCGCACACATCCTCCACATCGAGCAGGTCGGGGATGCCGATCTCCTTGGAGGCAATGTCGAAAGCGAGTTGCATGTTTCCGCGGTGGTCATTCTTGTCGAGGCTATCGTAGTCGATGAGGTCGGGGCGGTGAATGTCGAGCAGGGCGCAGCTGTTTACATGTTAGGTCAACGGGATGTGGGGGGAGCACTATGGTGAACTCACAATGCTAATCCATCGTTCCAGCTTGTGGAGAAGTCGCGTACTTCGACTTCGTCGTAGCAAGCCGTCTTTCTCTGACACCACAGCAAGAGACCCTCCTTTGCACTCAGACCCTCTTCGTTGATGTCGCTAATGGTGAAGCGGAGAATGAGGGTCCATATGAGACCGAGGATGATCTTGCTATTGCCGTCGACGACATCCTCAGCACCAGTGTTTGTGAGTTGGATCCTCCTACTCCGAATAAAGTCGAGTGACTTGTTGACGTTTTCAAACTTTTGGACACGGAGCTTTGGTCGCGAGGCGTATCGGCCGAGGGACTCGTTGCTGAGGATCTCCAGGAGGTGGATCAGGATGATCTGGACAGGGTTAGTGGACGGGTGCGGCGGGGGGCAGAGAGAAGGAGAGGCGGGGTTGCGTACGCCATCAGAGAGGTCTGTGATGAGGTCTGAGATCTCGACGCTCCGGATCTTTAGTTTGCTGTTGAGCCTGCATTGGTGTGGTTAGTAGTGGCGCGGAGAGGGGGGGGGGCGGGCAGAGATGGGCACCATTTGGTGAAGGTCTTTTGCTGGACGTTGACCCATTGCTGTTCAAGCGGCGCCATGTTTGGGGTGCATCAGTGCTCGGCGAGGGGGTATGCACACGGAGGCAGGAGTCGGGAGGTGTGGATATGCGATGCAGGCTGACAATGAGCCTCGTTGTGTTTTCCAACGGCCAGCCAAAACAATGGATGGATGGCTCACTGCGGGCGCGGACTCGGCTGTCGGTGAGACCCCGGTCGAGTGGTAGCGGGGCCCCTGGGTCCGCTCGCTTGTCGGGTGGCCTAGAGGCGGAAGAGGGCAGTGGTTGGTTGGACTAGACTTTTTTTTGTTTTTATTGCAATAAGACGGGATTGGCAGTGCAATTGGTGGTGATGGCTGCGGGTAACAATGGCCATGTAGCCGCAATATGAGGACGCAAGGGAGGCGCAGCGAGCAGATTGGGTGGTTTTGTAGGAGCTGCTGCCCCCACTTGCCTCGTGGGCGGGGGCACGCCGATTGGGCAGGCGCCGTGTGTTTGTATGTACTCGATGCATGTACTCTATCGTAGGTACGTACTCTAGCTAGGTGACGGCCATAGCCTGGATCATGGCTGTAGCCACGTCTCACGTGCTAGGGTACTTGGGGGAGTGTTTGTTGTCAGTCTGGCATGCTTGTTAGCACCGTTACCGTAGGGGGGGGAGGGGGGGTTAGATGAATTAGCTAAAATGCGGATAGGCAGGCTTGGGCGGCAACAGGCCTCTGCGCCAGGCGGTGTGAGAAAGTCGATGGTGTTTGGACGCAACCATGTAAGTATCGGGGGAGGGGGGAGTGTGTTTGTAATCCATATTTACATACAAGGACTTACAGGCCCAGGTGGGAAGGAACGAACGAACCACCCGGGTCGCTGCGAGGAAAGAGCGACCGGCCACGATGTTCCTATTAAGCTCGCCTGCATCAACCTTGCTCGCCACGGCTGCCAATCAACGGCTTTCTGCTGTCCATGTACATATCATGTCCTCGCTACATAGACGATACATAAATGTAAATGTACTTATACCGATGCCCGAGCACAGCCAGCACTGTTATCACTGCACAAGCCCAACCAACAGCAAGTAATCTCCGAAGACATGTGGGAGGCCATCAAGTTGGATCGCCCCACTGTCCGGGCGAGCTGATGGCAGGGTGGAGGAGGCTTGTCGGGCTTTTCCATGGAGAATGCAGATGCAACCCATTGATCTAGTGGCGCCTTGTTGCAATGACGTGCATGGTCGACGGCTGCTGGGGCAGCAGGGATGGCAGTGGCTGTATGGGCAGTGTAAGTACTGTCTGTCACTGTGTAGCATGTGTCTATTTGGGGGTGGGTAGACTAAGCATGTATCTATGTTTGGAAGCGTACTACTCAGTACTCGACTAAGTACTGGCACATATAGTTTAGTCGATACACAGACGGCTACGGAGAAAGTACCCGTCGACTTAGTCAAGACAGCCGCCCACTGGCTGCAGGCGGCGTCGACCCGAGGGGTGCAGCGGGCCAGGGCATCGATGCTCGGTGCATCGAGCGCCGCTGGACGTGAAACGCTCAACCAGACGGGCTACATGTACTATGTACTGCGTATGCGTAGTCCCCCCGAGGCCACGGGCGACATGCACATGTGCGTGACAGTCAGGCCGGGCTACAGACGCCAACTGCAAGAGTTTCAGGCGCCGGCGAGCGCTGCGCTCTGAAACGTTGATGGCCATGACGCCGCCACCGTCTTCTAGTACCACTGTCGCGACTACTCGCCCATGAAACACATAGCCGCCCCCTTGGCCTGGAGTATTGCACGCCCATGGCGCTCATTGTGCCCATTCCGCCCACTATGCCTCGACTCGAGAGTTGCGGGTGCACGTGAGAGCAGCGTTAGCGCGCCGTCTGGCTGCACAGCTGCATGCTCCACGCTGAGCCAGGAGAAAGGGCTCCACTAGTAAAGACTGCCCGCCTCGACGACGCTCCTCTCACCCACAGCACCCTCTCCCTCGCTCTCTCTCACACTCTCTCTCTCGCTCTCTCTCGTTGGCTGCCCAACCCTCTCCTGTCCACCCTGCCCTCGCCCCCCCATCCCCCCATGTGGCTTTTCCATTGAGCCCATCCCTGGTGTGCGACGCATTGCCCTTCTGAACCATTGGCAGCCGCACCCGCTACGCTCTCAGCACTACTGGCCCGCCCGCCCGCCAGCTGCCCAAGCCCTCGCATTGCTGCTGGCCTGCTCCGCGCGACGCTCCACCCCAAAGACTCGCCCGCTGCTGCTCCACCATAACCTCGCCCTCGCCCTCTGCCGACGCCCAGCCCGCTGCGCAATTGTCCACCCGACCCGACTCGACTTTCTTTTTCCCTCTTCCTCTCTCGCTCTCACCCTCGCGCCCAAGGCTGCGCCCTCCCCCGCTGCCTGTTGACTCCATCCAACTCCCCTTCACCCCGCCATTCACCGCATCCCCCCAGCACTCACCATTGCATTTCCGACGTGACTACGCGCTCCCCGGACGCCATCACACTTGCCTGCAAACGGCCCCTCGAGCTATTGTCTACATTAGAGGTTGCCCATGTAAGTCTCCTCAACTATTCTCTTCGCCTCTCCCGCCCCTTCTCAGCTACCACTCGTCTACGGCCTTTTTATTTATTTATTTTTGCTTCTTCGCCGCAGCCACCGCGACTACTCGCCGGGGCCCGGTCCGACTCAGGTAGCATACGTCGCTGCTCGTCAGCCTAGGCAGGTTTCAACTAATCACGACATCGCAGCATGTATTCCCGCGAACAGTTCATGAACCCTGGTCCCGCACCGCGACCACCCACAGATCGTCCCCGCCTCGCCCTTACCCCAAACACCAGCAGCACGCTGCCAGGCAACATGGCCGGTCTAAGTATGCAGTCGCCCGGTATGAACAACGGCTCTCAAATGTCCCTTGTTCGCACACAGACGGAGAGAAGCAGCTCGTCCGCGTCCACCGTCAAAGAAGGCATGGTCAAGGTCAAGGACGAGGGCCTGTTCAAATCCTTCGTCTGGGCAGATCGCTGGCTGGTGCTGCGCGAGTTTGAGCTCAATTTCTTCAAGAGCCCAAACGCCTCAAAGGTATCCAACTCCATTCAACTACGAGACATTCTGGGTGTCGAGCGATCCGACACGCAGCCCCTGTCTTTTGAAATCACCCGCGCACTCAACCCCAGCAAAGGCTCGTCGCCGCCCCGCGATGGTCCTACCAAGATCATTACATGCAAAGTCGAGACCGATGATGAAGTTTACTCGTGGATCGATAGCATCTACCAGCGATGTCCTAGCATGGGTGGCGTCAGCAACCCCACAAATTTCACGCATAGAGTACACGTAGGCTTCGATCCAAACAGCGGTGCTTTCGTTGGCCTGCCTGTCGAATGGGAGAAGCTGCTCACCGCATCTGCACTTACCAAAGATGACTACGCAAAGAACCCAAAGGCCGTTCTCGAAGTCCTCGAGTTTTACACCGAGAAGCTTGTCAAGCGATCAGAAGACCCCCAACAATACCCCAGTCTCACACCCACCCCACCAGGCAGTGCCGGAATGGACAAGCAGTTGGGTTATTCAGGCGGCGGAAATTCCGTTGCACCTCCACGCCCTGCGCCCCCTGGTGGCTACCCACGCAAGGATAGTTATAGCTCCAGTCGCCAGAACACGCCGCCTCAGCAAGGCTATTCTAGTCAACAAAACTCTGCCTCACAGCAACAGCAGCAGCAACAGGACCGCTATGACCAGGAGAGGAGACGACAGGAAGAACAGGCAAGGCTGCAGCGCGAACGTGAGCGACAGAGACAGCAGGATTACGAGCGCGAGCGTGAGCGCGAGGAGCTGGCTGCGTACAATGCTTCGCTACCGCAGAAAAAGGTTCCATTGGCCCAACAAGAAATCGGTGGAGGCAGCTACGATGCACGCGACACAAGTCCTTCAGGCCAGCGATACAACCCCAGTCGTCCGGCGCCATCGACTCCAGGTGCGGCGAGGAACCAGCAGCAATCACAGCAGCCTCCGGGCTCATTGCGCCAGATGGCTGCACAGCGTCCAGCTCCTCCGGCTCCTCAACAACAAAACGGCAACTATAGCTCTTCTCCTTCCAAGTCATCTTCTCAGCAACAACGCCCGCCCGTTCAGCCCAACAGCAGCTACAAGGGCTCAAGCGGACAGGTCCCTCGCGTCAACAATGGCCAGCAGCAGCAGCAACAACAACAACAACAGCAAAAGCAGTATCAGGGCTCATCTGCTGCTCCTAAGCCATTGAATGTTGCTAAGCCTGCCGCTCCCGTCAGCGATGCTGTCAAGAAGGCTGAGCAGGCCCTCACAGCCAAGCCCAAGGATGAGCCTCAACGCAAAGACGTGCGCATGTCGAGCATGTCGGAGAGTGAGGTCATGGCCAAGCTCCGCGAAGTCGTGTCCAAGGAAAGGCCCCTGGATTCGTACAACAAGCAGAAGAAGATTGGTCAAGGTGCTAGTGGCTCTGTCTACGTAGCTCGCATCCGCGAAGGCGCCACGTCACCAATGGCCAGGAGGGTCATGCAGGAAAACGGACCACGTGCTCAGGTTGCCATTAAGCAGATGGACCTCCGTAACCAGCCCCGCAAGGAGCTGATTGTGAACGAGATCATCGTCATGAAGGACAGCAAGCATCCCAACATTGTCAACTTCTTGGACGCTTTCCTGCAAGAAGAGCAGTCCGAGCTTTGGGTCGTCATGGAGTTCATGGAGGGAGGTGCCTTGACTGACATTATTGACAACAACCCTTCCATCAGCGAAGACCAGATTGCCACCATTTGCTTCGAGGTCAGTCTTTCCTTTGTATTCTTCCAAACACACACACACACTAACTTTTGATAGACTTGCAAGGGCCTTGAATATCTCCACAACTTGAACATTATTCACCGAGACATCAAGAGTGATAACGTCTTGCTCGATGGCCGCGGTAATGTCAAGATTAGTACGTTTTCGCTTATCATAATCGCTCTATACCTTGCTAACCTTTTATAGCGGATTTTGGATTTAGCGCCAAGCTCACTGAGCAACGTAGCAAGCGTGCAACCATGGTCGGAACTCCATACTGGATGGCGCCCGAGGTTGTCAAGCAGAAAGAGTACGGCAACAAGGTCGATATTTGGTCTTTGGGTATCATGGCTATCGAGATGATCGAGTCCGAGCCGCCATATCTCAACGAGGAGCCCCTCAAGGCCCTGTATCTCATTGCCACCAACGGTACCCCTCGTCTCAAGAAGCCAGACAAGCTTTCCAAGGAACTCAAGGCATTCTTGTCGGTCTGTCTATGTGTTGACGTCAAATCGCGCGCTAGTGCATCGGAGTTGATCAGCCATGACTTCCTTAAGAGTGGATGCAGCTTGGCAAGCTTGTCTCAGCTGCTTAATTTTAGAAAGAACGGAGGCCACTAAGCAGCCTGTAACCAAACGTCGAGTCAGGAGTGGTCCAAGCGACACCAAAAGAGTAATGGCGGGTGTTTTCACGAAGCGTTCTGGACTTGATCGATACCCTTTTTATGCTCATTTTACACTATATCCACGACGCGGTCTGGCCAGGTTCCCTTTTCTTTGCAGTCGATGACCTATTATGGAACCTAAACGAGCGCTGGGCCGTTTCAACCTCCCTGGCATTGCCCGACTGGAATCTTTGCGGCCACGTCAGGAAAGAATCATACTTTGCTTCTAGTACCCACGATATTCTCCTTGGTCTACTTGGTTCACTGATGCCGTTGCATAAGATGGTACAAGCTGTCGAGCTGCTGCTTTGCCGAACAAGAAGACTAATGTCCGACACTTCAATGAGAGTGGATTTTATTCTACCGGGCTTTACCCAATCATGGGGAATGAAGTCTTTGGCATTGGACAACAGGGCAACTTGTGTCATCTCGGCCCCCATCTTTTGCGCTTCTCATCCCTTTTATATATCCCCTTTCACAAGTGTTCATAGCGCAAAACGATATCATTGGCGTGAAAAGGAAAGGAGGAGGGTTTTCTCTTGTTTGAAACGGCAAACTCTTTTGATGTGCGATCGGGACATCGCTGGTTGCGAAATCTTTCACGGGTTCTTGTTCCTTTTTTTTCACAAACTTTCACACTTGCCCAATTCCTCTCTATGCTCATGTCTGGGAGCCAAATGTGAACAACGGGTAGACTTCAATGACAGTTTCATAAAAGATTTAATTTTTTTTTACCACTCAATGTCAAATATTGGTTCCACACATAAGCGAAAAATGACGAACGAAATAAAATGGAATCGCACTTTGGTGATTTGAGTAAATGTCATTGGATAGTTTGGTTCGGGTTCAATTTGTCAAAGTGTCATACTGACAGACTTGACATGTAAGGTAGAAGAACCTGACAGATGTATGTATCCTGTCAACCTCAATGATCAACCTCGATGATGTAAGCCTCGTATGAGAGAGACTTTGTCTTCTCAAAAGAGAAAAAGAAAAAGAAAACACCCTCGTGATCCATTTCCCAGCCAAAACTCCCATGTAGTAAGTAGTAAACTCCCCCTTCCCCTCCCGTAAAACCGAAAAAAACTTCCCTGACCGGATGCAAACTCCCTAAATCAACTTTTGATAAAAGAAAGAAAAAAAAAGAGAAAGAACTTCATGTTCATAACTGTATTCCACTCCCTCTATACTCTCCTCTTCAAGCAAGAACATTTCCCCCCAACCCCCTTCACAAATTCTTGACAAAATGAAATCCTCCCCTCCGATCCCGAAACACCATGCCGCCCGCCTCCCCTTTCTCTCCTTTACTGACCTGTCTCTCAAGGACCCACTCGTCTTCCTTGTCCTTTGCATACACTTCAACCAGCGCATCTGTACTAAGCCTCGCACCAAGGTGCTCGTAACCCGGTGCTGACCCACCACGCAGCGCTGGCGCGTAAGCCGCCGGTTCGCAACCCGCGACAAACTCGCTGAAGCGACTGTACCTCGTGCTGCCATCTGTAACGCAGACTGGAAGGCGCAAAGTAGGGTGTTGTGGGATTTGGGCGGCGAGGGGGGCAGCGAGGGAGGGTGTGAGGGGGGTGGAGTGGCCTGTTGGGATGCCGAGGCGGGATGCGATGGCGTTGGCGTTGGTGTGGTAGGTGGTTGACGTTGTTGATGGAGTTGACTTGGACGTTGCAGTGGACGCTGAAGTAGATGGGAAAGTGGAGGTAGACTGAGATGGATGGGATGATGCGGTGGTGCCTGTACGGGGACGCACGGGAAGAACCATCCGGGCGTTGGTGTGGCGCATGTACATGAGTGTGTCGTTTGCTACCTCGCTAGGGCGTGGAGGGCGTTGCGGGGGGCTCCTGTTGCGCGGTGTGAAAGGGGTGGTGGCGAGGTGGTTGAGGAGAGGTGAGATGGCTGAGTCTTGGGATGTGGGGGTTGGGCGGGAGATGGGACCTGTACTGCTTTTTGCCTTTTTGAGCTTGGGGGGTGGAGGGCGGTTGCTGCTGCGTTTTGGGATTGGTGGTGGTGGTGGCGGAGGGGGTGGAGGTGGAGGTGGAGGTGGATGAGCTGAGTAACGGGTTGGTAGTGGGATAGTGAAGTCGATGGGAATTTGAGGGACGGGTGGTGGTGGCGGAGATGTTGAGTAGGGCTTCTTGTGGCTGCTGAAGATTCGGGAGCCTGGGATGTGGATGTCGTGTTAGACTCGAGTTGGACTTGAAGGATATGGTAGAGTGAGAAGCGATTGGGCTTACCATTGTTCTTCAACGCCGCAAGATTCGAACACGACTTCTTGAGATTGGACATACTGAACGCATTGCGATACATCTTCTTCTTGTTGGATGCAGCAGGCGAACGACGAAATGCCTGTGTGTCATCGTCGTCGGAATCGTCGTAATCTGGAAGAAAATTGAAGTCGTCGTTGGACTCACGAGCAATGATGCGTGGTATGGCTGGAGGGAGCAAAGTTGATGACGAAGAATTGAGCCGCAGAACTGGTTGCGGCTTGTCTACCTTACCATCTTTGCGGCGAAAGGGCCACGTCACTTCCAGTTTGGTCAATACCTGACTTGTGTGTGTGTGTGTGTGTGTGTGTGTGGAGAGGTGGTTTGGGTGGTACGCGAGGGGGAGTAGGAAAGAGACTGTTCCTACCTTTTCTTGTAGCAGTGCTGTCAGTACCAGCGTCGAACTCAAACTGCGAGGTGTTTTTGGTTGCCCCCTTCTCTTCTGAAGATGCACCTTCTCTGAAGAAACGCGACGCTATCACCTTTCGTATCAGTACGGTCTGAGAGATGATGGCAGTCGTCAGTGATCTCACCGCGCTGGAGAAGAGAGACTTACCTTTACTGCGAAAGCTCTTCATCTTGAAGACAGTCAATAGGTGACGAGTATAGTGGAGCGATCAGTTGTCTGGTTTGCAAAAGCAATTGAGTGACTTGGACAAAAGCTTTGCTTCAAGTAGGCAAGGGAGCAAAGCAAACGGGCTTTAGCGTAAGATCAACCTCGAGCAGGTGATGCCGTATTTTGAAGTGCGTAACGGGCAGTGCCAAGCCAGTGCTCACACTCAGCGCTAGTAGTCAGTGAAAGTGAATACCAAATAGACCTGAGGTGACAAACGAATACCCATTGTCTGATGGATCGGTTGTTGGTCCAAGTCGGTTGCCCGAACCGCTACGCGAGGACATGCACAAGACAGTTGGACGCAAGCCGATACACTGCATTGTCCACGTACAAGAACTAGAGTACCTTGCTTCAACAGTGGTCCCCCTAACATCGGAGAACAGAGGACAAGAGACTCACAATCTAAATAGAAACACCAATTGAACGTCGTCTCAACATCACAAAATTAGACCCAAAGACAGCCATTGTTGGACATGAAAACCCTGCACCCCCATAGGAGCGTCAGAGCCGAGCATCATGCCCTAATATTTTTTCTTGATTTTTTACTTGAGAGATTTGTGGTGTTTGTAGTGATGGAAAAAGTCGAGTCATGCCTGGATCCAGAAACGCGGACAGCAGACGATTGTCGGAAGAAGCTCACCTCACAAAGCCAGTCGAGACAACCCCAGATGTGCATACGTGCACCAAAACATCAAAACATGATGTTGCAAAACGCCAGTCGACCAGCTCCTAGAACCCCGTGCACATGCAGCCAACCCATGAACCATGACAAAGAAAAGTTCTTGTGCTGGACTGAGCAACTAGGATGACATACCCAGCAATCCATACTACGTCCACCAACAGTGAATGACTAGTCATTCAAAAAACGCCAGAAACTCCAGATAAACGATAGTAAGGTCATAGTACATGACGATATGAAAACGCTAGAAGACCCATATAGACAAAAGAAAGGTGTGTGTATGAAAACACTAGTAGCTAGAATGAAAAATGCGCGAATATGGGCAGGTAGAAAGTAGTCTACCTCACGGTCGAGGCATCGCCAGCCGTGTTGAGATTAAGCAAACGCTTGAGATCCTGCTCCAAAGCTAAAGTTTCAGAAGGGGTGGATGTCTTCATCGCTGGGGCAGCTGAGGCAGCCGTGGGTGTAGAGGTCTTGCGCTGCTTAGCAGCGACCGAAGAAGGGACAAAAGACATCATGGTGGTAGAAGGTTTCGGTGCAGACGCAGGAGAGCCGTTGGCGACTGCTTTATCAAACTTGGGTCCAGGTCCAGATCCAGATCCAGTCCTCTGGCCCCTTGTTTGGTGAGTGTCAGGGCGACGCTGGTGTGGCTGTCTACCAGGCGTGCGCCTTTGGTTTGGGCTTTGTTGATAAGGTGGCATGGAAGGGCCTGCCTGACGCTGTGCATTCGGTGTTGCCCCATTGCCGTGGGAGAAGCCGTTTGATCCCATTGGGTGAGACTGAGGAACAGACGCAAAACCCTTGAACCCATCTTGCTGAAGCATTGGGGAATCAGCACTAATTTCAGTGCGGAGGCCAGAGTTGCGTTTGGCCGAGTCGCCCTGGGCTGCCTTGAACAATGGGGAAAGGTTCTTGTTGCCATAGTAAAAGTCGGACGGGTCCTGGTTCGGGGGCTGCGCCTGGGGGGTGGTAGGGCCAGATGCCGTTCGTCCAGGAGTCCGACCGTCATGGAAAGGCGAGGGCGATAGATGTGCTTGTGGTCCTGGTAGGCCGTGGGCACCCGCATGAGGTGGTGTTGCAGCAGTGGATTTCTTCTGTGACATGGAAAGACGACTGAACAGGTCTTGCATGACATCATTTCCGTTACCTTGCTGTTGAACGTCTTTGAGTTGAGGGACGCCATCGGGGTCTGTCATGGAGCGCTGTGAGGCGGGTGGCGCTAGAGGTGCGGGGGACATGTGCGCATGCTTGCTCTCCCCGTCAAGCTCTATAGGGAAGATGCCATTGAGTGAATGATAAGAGTCATGTTTGAAGTGGTGGGATCGGCCGGGATTTGCTGCTACGAATGGGCTGTTTGAAGGAAGGCCTCTGTTTTGATTATTGGCCCTCTCTGCTGCATCGGCTCTGAAGAGAAGATCCAAGGGAGACTGCCCATGGTGTGGAGGCGCAGCCGTTGGGCCACGAGAAGGAGAAGCAGAAGGGCTCAGCGAGCCCGAGTCAGAACTGTCCTCAGGCGGAGGAGTTGGTGGGCCAGCACGGGTCTTTGCGGGCACAGAACGAGAAAGAAACTTGGGAATGGGCAAAGCAGAAGGCGCCGGAGACGCGTGAAAGGTGGGCCCAGCATAAGCAGCCTGGATTTTGACAGGAGTTGCAGACGGGTTGATAGGAACGGGATCCGATTCGGCAGGCGGAGAGACGCGATCAGACGGCTTCGGCTGAGCGTGCTTCTTCATGCCGCGTGAACCGGCAGACATGTGACCATCTTCACAGGGGAAGGTGACACTTTCGGCGAGGGCGCCTTGTGCGGAATTCTTGCTGGGGGATACAGGTAGGCCGTTGCGCTGGTTGTGGCCATTTTGCGCGCGGTTATTCCGTGGTTTTCTTTGTGACTGTCTGCCGGCGTTGTTGTTTTGGGGCAGCTGAGCTGGGCTCTGCGGCTTTCCGCGGGGCGCTCGTGGAGAGGCCGTGATCTGAGTTGTCGACATTTGAGGTATAGTGGGGTATTCTGTGTGGAGGAGAGGAGATTATCTAGAGGGTCGCAGGCGGACGCTCTTTGTTCGAGATGTGGAAGTGGGATGAATGGAGCGCGATGACGCGGAGTGTGGTTGGGGGGATGGCTGTGTCTGGTGTAGTAGAAGTGTGCAAAGGTCGAGTGGTAGAGTGTTCATATCCAGTTCCGCGGGGTAGAGATAGGCACGCGCCGTCGGGTGATGTAGGGCGAAGAGAGTGAGTGAGGGTGTAGTGAAGAGCGTCGGGCGCATCAGTCGGTGCCAGCGCGGAGGTGGCTGAGGTCAAACAAGGCTGATCTCGGCAAGGCGCACTGACGCTCGCAGCGGCGGCGGCGACGTAAGGCTGAACGGCTGTTACGATGAAACAGACGTCGGACTGGGGCAGCAATGGGGATTCTGACACGGATCGTCGCTTTCTGGCATTGAGTCCAAAGCGTGTGTTGCTGCGTGTCTCTCGCATTGCCCTTTGTCTGCGTCGCCATGGCCGACGGTGACGTGAAGGGGCCCTGGTCTTGGCGTTCGCTCGCTGGCAGCTGGAGCCTGACGGATGCACGTTGCGCCTCCAGCCTCGATACCATTCGGGCCAGTACATTGCCACCCCGTACACATCGCAACTTGGTTCTGGTTCTGGTCCTGTTTCTGGTTGGAGCTGGAGCTGCTACCTGTTCCCGCCCATCCATTACATAGCTGCGGCCCGTCAAACTCCGCTCTTTTGCCCACGCTTCAGCCTCCGACTCTACACTCCTCCCCGCCCCCACCAGCTCCGAGCCGCCTTCATCACATACTGATCATGGCGGACGTTGACATGGCAGATGCGCCCCCGGCCAAGACCAAGACATCCAAGGCCGGCGCCAGTGGAGAGGGCGACAAGAAGCGCTTCGAGGTCAAGAAGGTATGCGGCACACAATCACAGGCAGTGCGCTGCCAGGCTTTTTGGATGATGCTGACTTGACGCAGTGGAATGCCGTTGCTCTCTGGGCCTGGGACATCGTCGTCGACAACTGTGCCATTTGCCGCAACCACATCATGGACCTGTGCATTGAATGCCAGGCCAACCAAGCTTCGGCAACTAGCGAAGAGTGCACGGTAGCCTGGGGTATCTGCAACGTAGGTTCCATGTTGCCAGTCTCGCAATTCGCCCTGCTAATTCACAGCAGCACGCCTTCCACTTCCACTGCATCTCACGATGGCTCAAGACGCGACAGGTCTGCCCGCTAGACAACAGGGACTGGGAGTTCCAAAAGTACGGCCGATAGACAGCAGCAGCAGGCACGACAAACAGGTTCAACAAGGACGCATTTGGGTTATGGTTCCATTCGGATGTCTGGCGTTAGCACGGCCTTTACAAAAGACTATCATGACAGCATGACGTAGTAGCACGCGCAGTCAGAGGGTCGAATAAGATTCACATTACAATCAAACGCCGCATTTCTAGCCAATTGTGATACAAGTCTCTCCTGCACTCGCGCCCAACCCCACCCGGTCTATCCCACCTTCTCCCCGTCGACGTCGATGTTGTATTGCGATGAGGCGTTGTACTTTGGTAGCCAGCCTTCGGGATTCTTGTTGTAAAAGGGCCACGGGGGTACAACGACAAGGAAGGTGAGGGCGGTGCCGGCGAGGCCAATGTAGAGGGCGAGGCGGATGTCTTGCGCCATGTAGCCAACAATGAAGGCAAGAATCTGGGCTCGTCAGTCGTATGAAGCGCTCGCAATCAAGAAGGGGGGGAAACATACACCAGCAGCGCCAAGGAGAACTGTGTTCAGCATATCAGCCAGCCTCTGACCCTCAAAGTCCTGCGACCACTGTTAGCAAACCTTGTTGTGAAGCAGCGGTTGGTGTGCATGTCTGGGTCTGGGTCTGGGTCTGGACAAGGAAAGTATCGCATACAATCTGGCCCTCGACGGCATCGCGCACTTGCTCGAGAAGTTGGTCCGCCATGTCACATGCAGATGCTCACACTGGAGGATTCCTGGCACCTGAACAGCGTTGCGTGTTTGGTGTGTTCTGTACGTACGTATGTACTGCGTATGTACTGCGTATGTATGTATGAAAGTGGTCGACTGCTGGCTGGACAAGGCTAGCCGTGTTTGAAGAGGTGGCATGTTTGCGATGCAGAGCCCCATCGGAACAACCTCGGCGCGAGAGGGAAGCGATCCGCGGCCGCGCCACCCCTGCAGACTTTCCATTTGCATTTGCGCCTGACGAAAGATGCAGGTCAACAAGCGACAATACAATTCCATATGCATCCATGGCTCCTTGGGGGGGGGGCGCGCGCGGAGACGCAACACACCTCTAGACTCATCCACGCCCAGAGTATCCGGTGTGCTGTTGCTCGGCATGCCTCAGAGGCTCCACACGCTGCAGATGCAGTTAGCGGACAGTCTTGGGGCTTCTGGAGCGCTTCAGCCCAATCAGCGGGCACCGAAGCGTGGACTTGAACCAAAGGAACCAAGGCCTGGCCTTAGCCCTCTAGCCACAGTACAAAAGACCCGCAACCCCCGTCAACCAAATATTTTTCATCGCCCACCTGGTCTCGCACCACGTATATATTGCCCACAGACCTGCTGCCCACGACAATACACCGCTTCTTCACCACGCATCTGGCAGCTGCCCCAGCGCACCTCGCCGCCTTCCAGCTCTGACTCCCCGTGGACCGCCATCCACCGTTGCGACTGATTGACCCAGCAGCGTTCTTTGTTTTTCCCCACCGTCCCCTTTCACACCCACCTCTGACGCTACGGCGTCCATAGACATCCAAACCACCAAGTTGGCGGGACTCTACTTCGACCGGCTCTCCTTCATCCGCCCCTTGCTCGGCACAAAAGCCTGGGTATACGGAGGCGACCACCAGCCCCCATAACTGGCCCAAACAAGCACACCCCGATTACTCTCGCTACTACTTTCGCCTCCTTCACCGAGCCTTCCTATTCCCGGAGAGGGTGTGGAAGTCTGGATACCGGACACTTTTACCCTCGGCTTAGTGTAGGGGACCACCCTACGCGAAGCCATCGTCAAGTTGAGCGCGCCTTAGAGGTGGGCGCTCACAAGCGACCTACCCGCTTCCGTGCTTCTTGCAGCGCCAGAAGTCGCTGAATATTCAAACAATCCTGGCTTAACCAAAGCTCCCCGCATCAGATCCCGGAGTCCCACTCTCATCGCCGCCTGAGTAGCCAATATGACTGACACTCCGAGATCCGAGAGCCAAACCAGGTTCAGCACGCCCGTGTCTGACCTGAACGACCACCGCAACCAGCCTCTATCTCTCCCGCGTGCCGAAGCAAACTCGCCCCCCAGATCGCGCCGACCTACATTTGAGGCCGCCCATGGCCAGGACCACCCCAACATCCTCCTCCAAGTCAACCAAGCCCTCGAGGCAGACATTACTCGACGCGACTTTGAAAGCGCCGTGGTAGACGATGACCAGCACTTGGCTCCTGATGCCTATGTTCGCCGCGGTTCGCTAGCCCACGACCCCCGAGCCCGGCGAGACACGTTCCGACGCCCTCGCGACCTTGCTGTCGAACGCCTGTCTAGGAGCAGGGATTCGTCTACCAGCTCGCGATCTATCTCTCCTCCCAACTCAGTTGATGCATTTGCCGGGCCTCGTCGCCGCGACCGCGCCAACACTCTTCAGAGTCATGCCGACTCGGAGACCGATCTTGCCTTGCATAGAACCATGTCTCGCGCCACTGCGCGCCGCCCAACCATCAGCGACGAGCGTCCCGAGGAATTGCATACGGATGCAGCATCCGCGCACAGCTCTGCCGAGGAGGATGTTTGCTTCCCTGTTTCCGAGGACACTGGCAAGACGACCAGGTTTGACTATGAAGAGCTGGAAGAGTTTGTTGCAGAGGCGCAAAGCAAAACACCCATCGGCCAGCCTCTACGCCACAAGGCGAGTGTATCCTCTCGTCTCTCTGCAAAGCCCAAGGTCTTCTCCGACCTCCGTCCCAAGTCGAGCCAATCCACTACACCCAAGGCGGCAGACGACATTACGAGTTTGAAGGATGTCGACCCTGCGATACAGGAAAAGCTTGCCGAGGAAGGTCTTTCCCACGTCTTCGCCGAGAAGCATGTGCCTGAAGCCAAGGTCAATCGATGGACCTTCTTCTCTTCGGAGATGGACGACACAATTCATGCAGCCGAGCTTGGAGGGCTCCTCATGCCTGGCGAACGCTTCCGCGATCTGTTTGACACACCATCAGATGGCGGCGTCTGGTGGCTCGACATGGTCAACCCAACAGAGGAGGAAGTGTTTGCTATTTCAAAAGCATTTGGAGTGCATCCTCTTACTCGCGAGGATATCTGCATTCAGGAGCCACGTGAGAAGGTGGAGCTGTTCCACCAGTACTACTTTGTCTCGTTCCGCTCCTTTTTCCAAGCCGACAAGGAGTCCGAGGAATACCTGGAGCCCGTCAACTTCTACGCGGTAGTGTTCAAAGAAGGCATCCTGACGTTTACCTTTTGCGAGAGCCCCCACACTCTCAACGTTCGCAAGCGTATCAGTCGGCTCCGTGACTACATCAACCTCAACGCTGACTGGATCTGCTATGCTCTTATCGACGACATTGTAGACAGCTTCGCTCCTGTGATCCGCAGCATCGAAGATGAGGCTGACGCGATTGAGGATCAAGTGTTCATTGCCCGCATTGAGGACTCGCGCGAGATCCTTCGGTCAATTGGCGACTGCCGCAAGCGTGTGATGCAGCTGTTGCGTCTGTTGGGAGGCAAAGCAGATGTCATCAAGGGCTTTGCCAAGCGTTGCAACGAATCTTACAGTGTGGCGCCCCGCGGTGACGTGGGCATCTACCTCAGCGATATCCAGGATCACGTCGTCACGATGATGTCCAACTTGGCTCACTTTGAGGAAATGCTCAGCCGCGCGCACTCCAATTACCTCGCCCAGATCTCTGTCGACCAGGTCATCCAGGGTAACGATAGCAACGCTACCCTGCAGAAGGTGACTGTGATTGCAACGATTCTCGTTCCGCTCAACTTGATCTGCGGTCTCTTTGGCATGAACGTCAAGGTCCCGGGACAAGACGGGAGTCTGGCCTGGTTCTTCAGCATCATTGGAGTCATTTGCCTGTTTGTCTCGGTGTGCCTGCTTGTGGCTAGGAGGATGCGATACATCTAGCTGGGTGGTTTCCTACTTGTTCCCAGCCGTCTTTCAGCTGGGCGCGTACACTCCTTATCTGTTTATCTGTTTTTGTTTGTCTGTTTCTTGCTTTGTGTTTTCATTCAGTATACGACGTGACGAGAGCGCTGGTGTAATCATAGGGTGTTGTCCATAAGCTGGGTTTCTGCGTACATATACACAAGTACATGGCATGAGGTGGCCATTCTGGGATTATGTCGGATAGTAACTAGGTTTAGCGATACGAGTATACAAAAGGCTAGTAAAAAAAAGAAGATGTTTGCTTCCAAAGATGGTCTGCCTGCCAACGCAGTGGATGCTCATGTGGTGTGGACATGGGGATTGGATGTTCACAAAGGATCTGATGCTGGGGGCTGAATCGGTAATCAGCCACAAGGCTTGACTCGAAGGGGACAAGAAAAAGCAAGCGCATGCATATGGTGGCAGCAACGCAAACGTCGCAGTGTACGCAGCTGGCATTTGTTGTTTGTTTCATCGACTTCCAAAATAGACGGGCAATGTGACAGAGGGCCGCACAGAGCACGCGATGGCGTGGCAGACAGACAGGCGGCCCAGGCACAGGCACAAGCACAGGCTGGTTCCACGTTTCTTGGGGTTGTTAGGTTTGGGACGAGGCCTGGTGGTGGGCGGTACACTATTGAGCGGCTCAGTACTAGTTATTTGCCAGACACGCCGTCACTCATCACTCGCCGCCCATGACGCGGCGCTGGCAAAGAGGCGACTAATGGTGTAGGCGATGATTCCGTTCCCTTCCCATTCGTTCCGAGGTCGGAAGTAACATGGTGACTTGGCCGCACCCAGCATGGCACAGGAACCAGCCAGCCGCCAAAGCAGGTGAGCCGAGGAGAGAAAAAAAAAGCCATGCTCTGTGACGTTGGGCGGCCGTCGTCTATCGTCTACCCTGGGTGCAGGCACAGGCACAGGCACAGGTCATGAGTCCCCAGGTCACGGTTCCACACGAGGGGCGCTCTGCAGGGTCGCAAGCGGTGAATTAGGCTCGTTCCGAAGGGCTGGCCTGGCGCATCCTTGTTTCGGCGAGAGCATTCCATCATGCAGCGCCTCAGCAGACGCCCTCCCTTAAAGCCCATAGTCTCACCCGTCCGCCTCTCCGCCCCCATTTCTTTCACTTCACCACTCACTCACTTGTAGCCCCATACATATACTCTCCCTGCAACGCACGCTCCCTCCCCGCTACTTGCCCGGAACCCCACCACACTGACACGTCGTCTGCCTGCATTGTCATAGTACATCACCCTCGCCAACACCACACCCTCCGACAAGGGCTCCCTTTGGAACTACTGCTCAACATGGCGGAAATGGCGCAGCGAATACTCATGAACGAGTTCAAGCAGCTAAGCAAGGAGAAATGGACCAACATTGAGGTATGCTTGGGAGCGGCGGCTAGCGAACAGTCACCTGCCCGAGTGGCGACTGTAGGGCACCCAGCTAACCACAGCACAGCTTATCAACGAAAATGTCTTTGAGTGGAGTGTGGCCCTCATTGTTATGAACGAGGAATCCATGTACTATGGCGGTTACTTCAAGGCCAAGATGACGTTTCCTCGCAACTACCCACATAGCCCGCCAGGTACGTGACCGCTCGTCTATGACGGAGACTGTCATATGATACGAAGCAAGCGCTAATGGCATGTCAGACTTTAAGTTTATCCGACCACTCTACCACCCAAACATTTACCCCGACGGCCGCCTGTGCATCTCCATCCTCCACCCCCCGGGCGATGACGAAATGTCCGGCGAGACTGCTGCGGAGCGTTGGTCGCCCGTGCAGCGAGTCGAAACGGTCCTTATCTCCATTCTGTCTCTCTTGGACGACGCCGAGGTTTCTTCCCCCGCCAACGTCGACGCAGGCGTCATGTTGCGTAACAAGCCGGCCGAATACAAGGAGATGGTCAAGAAGGATCTCGAACTGTCAAAACAGGATATCCCAGAGGGCTTCGTTATGCCAACCAACGAGACTGCGTGGAAGAAGGAGAAGGACGAGGGAGACTTTGAAATGAGCTGGGAAGACAGCGATGCTGAGAGCCTTGATTTTGGCGGCAGCGAAAGCGACTTTGACGAGGATCAAGAGATGGACTCTGAGTTTGAGGGCGAAGACGACGATGGCGAGGACGAGGATGAGGAACAGGCCCCTTCGAAGCGCTAGGTATCGGCATTCTGGCTGAATGCCGATACCTCTGTTTCACAATCATGCCGTAACGACACAATTGGGGGGGGGGCTCTTTGTCATTGCAGCCACACTTGTTCTTCAACCCCAAACATGGCTCTCTCGTCGTCAGAGATACGCCGACCTTGCCGCCATGGAATATGGCCGACGTTTTCCACGACTCCCCTATATTTGATTCTCACCACTTCTTCAGCACGTTTTATTCTCAGCGAGGCGTTCGGTATTGGCGTGTGTGTGTGGGTCCGCGGCGCTTGTGTTTTCACAACGGGTCTACTAGACATGCCCATGATTCGGTCACGGTTTCGGGTGGGCATTTTAACACTGCATAGGCCTGGGAGTTTTCTTTTACTTTTTTTTTCAGGGCATCAATCTTTCGATAATACGTTTGTACTTGCGAATCCCGGTGTCAGCAACTTTGCAGGGCGTGCAATTATTTTCCCATAGATTGTTTTTTTTTCTTTTCCAAAGAATTTGCCCTGGGGCCCTTGCATCATCTTCTCATCTTATTCTTACAGAAGTATGGATTTACAATGTGTGTGTATGTGTGTGTTTAACAGATGGAATGGTTTACCACCCAATCCCCAACGCACTCCTCACCCTCACCATCGTTCCCTCAGCAATCTCCTCCGCTCTACGCGCACCCTCCTCCGCATACCTCACCAATTCCTTCTGATCCCCCTTCATCAACTCCAAATACCTCTCCCTTACCCCACTAATCCCTGCATCCACCGTCTCTGCCACCTTTTCCTTGAGCGCCCTCATACTCAAATCCTTCAAGTCCTCTGCTAATTCCTCTGGGGACTCCGTCTTCTTCCTCTTCTTCCCTTCGCCTCCTCCTTCTCCCTCTCCTCCCTTGACACCATCATTCTCAAAATGCCACATCAGATCCACCAAATTTGAGACTCCAGGCCGCATCTCGCGGTCATAACTGACGCCCTCGATGGAATCCGTCAGCGCGGATTTCACTTTTGCAAGGATATCTTCTCTCGAGTCGGAAAGCAGGATGCGGGATTTCGGACGAGCGTCGCTTTTGCTCATCTTCTTGGTGGGGTCCGTGAGGCTCATTATGCGTTTGGCGGGGCTGAGGAGGGTTTGGGGGATGGTTAGCAGGGGGGCTGCTCCTTCTTCTTCTTCCCCCCCTAACACTGATGAAGGTGGCGGGGAGGAGTAGACATGGTTAAAGCCAATGGCCAACTCACGCGTGAGTTCGAGGTGCTGCACTTGATCTTCGCCGACGGGGACGTGCGTGGTATTGTAGAGGAGGATGTCTGCGGCTTGGAGGACGGGGTAGGAGAAGAGGCCGAGTTTTAGGGCGTCTTTGTTGTTGGAGGGGTCGAGGGGGGAGGAGTTTGCTGGGAGGGAGAGTTTGGCCTGTGGCGGGGGTTAATTAGTTATATATTTTCTTGGTTTGGTTGACTTTGTATTTATTTTGAAAGTGAGAGGTTTTAGGGGGGTAAGAAATGTATGTACCTTCCACTGTGTCATGCGACCCAAATAACCCATGCTGGCACCGCAACTAAGAATCCACATGAGCTCTGCATGCTGCTTTACGCTGCTCTGTGTGAAAATTATGCATCGCTTTGGGTCGAGTCCTACTGCTAGGAGACTGGCTAGCATCTCTTTGCGCCAGGTCGCCAATTGACGTGCATCTTGCTTAATGGTAATAGCGTGCAAGTCGACAATTGAGAAGAGGAGCGTCGTGTCTGGTGACGCTTCGTCTTGCAGTCGAACCCATTGTCGTAATGCGCCCAGATAATTTCCAAGATGTGGGATGCCTGTGGGTTGGATGCCGGAAAAAATGACTTTCTTCTCCGTCTTTTGCTGGCTCGAGGGTGATGGGATGGAATACTGGCGCAGACAATTGCTACATGGGCGCAGAGACAAAGGGGCTGCGCGATGCAGCGCACGCAGAGAAAACATTGACGTCGGGTGCTTTCGCACTGAAGCGGAGCCCGAGGCCGGGCTGGCGGGCTTGCTCAGCCACGATGGACGAGGTGTACGCCGGCTGCAGCTTTCGTCATTGTGGCACTGCCGCCCGCTCCCATCCAACTCTCCAGCCAGCCACAACACCACTGCCACGCTGCTCTGCTCTGTTCTCCTCGACTGCACTGTGTACAAACATACAATACCCCGACCATACCCATTCCACTTGCACCCAACACACATCTCTACATCCTATTCCCGGAACATAGCGGCAACACCACCATCATGTCTTGGACAGGTATTGCAGCCCAACAATGTTTGTTTGATATCATGGCCGCTCACACCGTGCAGGGTTCAAGAAGGGCGTCAATCGCGCAACTACGCAGGTGTTGATGAAGACAGGCCAGGTCGAGCGCACAAATGATCGCGACTTTGAGACTGAGCAGCGGTATGCGCCCTCAACCCCCCGCCCACAGCCGCCTCCCTACCCCCCTTCCCAGGCATCCGCCCATGACCACCCCCTCTAACGGAAACATGGCAGACGCTACCGGACCATGGAAACGGCGGCGAACAAGCTACAAAAGGAAGCAAAGGGCTACCTCGACTCGCTCCGTGCCATGACGGCCTCGCAGATGCGCATTGCCGAAACTATTGACGCCTTCTACGGAGACGCCGGCACCAAGGACGGAGTGTCGCGCTCCTACAAGCAGGCCGTTACCGACCTGGACGCCGAGACAATCAAAGCCCTCGATGGTCCCTACCGAACAACCGTCCTCGACCCCATCCAGCGCTTCTGCTCCTATTTCCCCGACATCAACGCCTGCATCACCAAGCGCGAACACAAGCAGATGGACTACGATCGCATGCGTGCTCAGGTCAGGAAGTTGACGGACAAGCCCGACAAGGATGTCACCAAACTCCCGCGTGCTGAGAAGGACGAGCAACTCGCCAAGGCTGCCTATGATCAACTCAACGACACTCTGACGGCCGAACTGCCACAGCTCATCGATCTGCGAGTACCCTACCTAGACCCAAGTTTCGAGGCACTAGTCAAGATTCAGTTGAGGTTCTGTGCCGAGGCCTATTCGAGAATGGCACAGGTACAACAGTATCTCGATGCCAACACAAGAGATCAGTATGCTCAGGGTGAGCTAGACGCGCGTGTCGAGGAGGTGCTGCAGGAAATTAGGGATCTCAGTATTGCAGGGACTGTCTAAAGGCTTATGAGAGACAAAAAAGACTTGACTTTCTAGTGCATCATGTGCAATAATTCTTCTTGAAGGCGTTAGGAATGATCCGGTTTGCGGCATTGCTTGGGTTAGAGAGCAAGGGCGATGACCTGACAAGGCTTCGTACGAACATTATTTTCTTCATCTCGTCGAATGCTATTGACTCGATTTCTCATTGATCACGTTTCTGCTCTGGTCGAGATTCCAATCTATGTGACTTGAGATGTTGCCTATCCTGTACCCAAACTTTAACATGTCCTGGTTTTCAATCTCGCCTTTCTTTTCTATCAGTTCATCAACATCCCACGTTGCACTTAGCGCAGCGAGATCTCGGATGGGCGTGCCATCACAAACATCCCCAGGAAGTACATAGCTGAGGGATAGACGGAATGGTAGAACAAGAGATAATAGGTATAAGAATAGGTCGGATCTCATTATTACACGTGTTGTGGTTAACTCTGATCACTTCTTCTCTTACATAGATTAATACTTGGTTATTCTGTACTAGATAAGCCCAGCGCTTAGCTAGGCGGCAAGGCAGACATGTTAGGAGAATTCTTCCGCTCCAATGTATAAAAAACCGCTCTCCTCTCCCTTTCCTGACGAGTTTCTTTCTATAGAATGATAAGAAACGAAAGTCATACTTCTTGCGAGGGTATACGGAGAAACGCTTTACAGAACGGATTAAAAATCTAATCGAGTTCATTTTCAGACACAAGTCTTCTTTTTGACCCTAACTCTCTCCCTCTCTCTCTCTCTCTCCCTCTCTCGCTAACCCTCTTTATTATAGCATCTATGTGGATTTCCAGTGAATACAGAACTGCACTGACTGCTTTGTAGCTCGTATAGATGTCTATCGCCATATATTGAAGCAAGGTAGGTTTTGTCGCGGCAGCCGCAGGATGGCCAACAATTGATATGACAGGAATAGCCTTTATCATAATTACAAATTATCACACCCCCAGAACAAAATCGTGATAGAGAAACTCTACAAAAAGAGAAGAGTAAAAGTGTTTGTAAGATCTTCATGTTGTAGTATGAGTAAGTGAGTAGGAGTTTTTTTTTGAACGAAAGGAATTGAACGTATTGAGAAGTATAACGTATAGAATGTTTTATACACCGGAGAACTTTGCTGCACTACGTGTCCTTATTACAACTATGGTTTGTTGTGCTGCTGCCTCGTCGCAACCGTGGTTCGCTGTTCTACTACCTTCGTCGCGACCGCATTTTAGCTATTATACCCAATAGACGTGCCTAACGGGCATTTACCCATTAAGAGGTTATTACCAACCCATTACACTTTGACTATAAAGTTATATTTTTTGGATACCCGATTGCGGTAGGTCGGGGTGTGGCCTGCCATTCTTTTCTGAGATAATTGATCTGATACGCTACATGACAAACAGATAGAAAAAAAAGTCAAGTACTAGTAATCTCTAATTTTCTTTACTTGACCATTGTCGATCTGTATAATTGGTTTGATACATTCGAGAGCAAGTCACCCGACTTGGCTAGACAACAAATGTCGGCTTTTCCGGCCTCGATACGAGATAATAGTCGATGGCTGTATTTTTGTCTGAGCGCAATACAGATGCTCGTCTAGTGTATCCGCGAGATAAATATGTGGCTTTGTAAAATCGACTATCCTCGAAGTGCGAACCACTGCTTGCAGCACCAATGTCAGGAAATCAGACCCCCCACTTCATCTGATCTCAGTAAAATCAACGTGAGGCTACTTTATACTGATTGTGATCTTTTCTGCCCATGGGTACGCTTGATCGTTATCTGGGAGCATCTTGGAAAGTCACCCATGGAAACTTTGTACATCAAGGGTCCCAGGGTGGGACGATCAGTGAGGTAATGTCTCACAGGTGATGATGCGATGGCGTGTGGTCTGGATTTCAAGGCACGCTGAGCTCTGCAAAAGACAAGAATATAGACTCGGTTCTGGCCGCCCTAAATGGATACAAGCATTTCTGTCGTGGCATCCTAAAGCACTAGGACCATGGTATGTCACACGTGATGGGCCAGGGGCGGGAAGCGAAAAGTGCCCAATGCTCGTCCAGTTTGGTGAGGTGGCGAAATGACAACATCGCTGAGCGCCCAGCCACAGTTCCGCCACGCGCTTCAGTCGAACGAGCACTCTAGCACTAGCACACTCCTACCCGCCAAGTGCTCCGCTGCGGCATTGTGCGCCAAGTTCTCATCTATCAATCTAGAATCGCATCATTCGTCCCCCCGTATCCGCTAAAGAAGCCCAGCATCCGGAAATCCTCGACTCGCGTCATACCGTCGTTGCAACAACATCACTCTTTCTTGGCTGCGCCACAGCGTACATCATACCGGATACAGCAGCACATAGCTAAAGCTCCTCGGAGCCATTGTATAGCTTGGCAGACACCTCGACACATTATATAAAGACCCTTCCTAGCTGCCCTTGCCCGAAATGTACCTCATCGAATACATCCATCGTTCGATACAGATTTCTGAAATACTTCGTGAACGATACCTACCACCATGCTTACGCACCACCCCGGAACCGCAGTCGCCCACAGGAAAGGCGAAATCGACCCAACCGATGTCCCCTGGGCACTCACAACACACTTACTCGCAATCAACCACCAACAACTTCTCCGCGTCACGCGACACCCCTTCCTAGAACGCGCCGCAAAGGGCTCCCTGCCTAAGTCTGTGATAGCACAATGGCTATCAAACGATAGGCAGTACATTGAAGGCTACCTCTCCACACTCAGGAACACTCTCCTTCTGGTTCAAAGTACCTACAAGTCGACAATTGCTCCAGACGCTGAGCCTGATATCGAAACACGCCTAATTAAATGGCTAGAGGCTGGCATTCACAACGGAGAGCGGGAGATTCAGTTCTTCCACGAAGTTGCGGAAATCTACAAGATTGATTTCCATCCCTCACCATTACAGGAAAGCCTCAAATCAGAAGGACTTCGTCGCTACGAGGCCCTGTTCAATGCTGTTGCATCTCAGCAACCCAATCCTTTCATCCCCTGGCTAGAGGGCGCGATTCTGCTCTGGTCAACTGAGAAGGTCTACTACGAAGCCTGGTCTTGGGCTCGTCGTCAGGATACCCAGTCATCTCCTCGAGGCTACGAAAACGACATGGACGGCGGTGCCATGCGAAGAGAATTCATCCCCAACTGGTCAAACCGCGACTTTATGATGTTCGTCGAGCAGCTTGAACGCATCGTCAATGAAGGTGTGAGCATCGCAGTAAACCGCGATGACAAGAGGTGGGCAGAAGTGAAGAACAGGGCGGACCCGATATGGAGGGCTTTGCTAGACGCCGAGGAAGCTTTCTGGCCAAATGTACCTGGAAGCGAGGGCAGTCTGCTTGAGCCTGGTGTTCAGCGAGGCATAGACGGCAAGATGGACGAGAACACCTTGCGCAGTACCGGCGACGATGTAATCTTAAACGAGCATCAGGGCGTCCGAGCAGGTGACATTACGACTATGCGTAGCAACCAGCACGATGCAGTAGTGACTTGAAAGGGGGGTTTTTTTTCGTAGCAGTCTCGTTTTAGCGAATAGGAGTTTAATATTATTTTGAGTGCAGCATCAATTCGTAAACCAGAATCACTGAGTGTATATCTCCGTCATCGTTTCCTATTCGTATCATCGTGCCAAGCTTTCTCTATGGTGGTAAATGGGTAGAGGTAAGTGTATAGTTGGGTTGCCAAAAGTTGGGTAGAGGTAACGTGCGGGATCAGTAAGCTGGAAAGATCAGTAAGCTGAACG